AGATTCTTTCACTCTCAGTAACCCTTGCATCTTAGTGGCTTTATTGCCTTGTTTGGGGTGAAATGGTAAATAAAAAACACAACTATTAAACAAGCAACTTTAATGCCAGAAATAAAGAATAAGTTTGTGATGAGATAAAAAAAAGTTTTAAAGAAAAATTAGTAAAAAATACAAACAATAATATTATAAACTATATTTTAAAGTGTGTGTATGTGTATACAGGCCTGGTGGGTACTACTCACAAACTGGGGGACCCAAGAATGATTGGGGGCTCTAAGCAGTGCTTTTGACCATTGCTATCTTATCAGTATTTGCTTTTATCTACCTACATTTATATACATTACAAATTAAACAAAGCACAACTAAAAATCTTTGCAGATTTTGATTTCATCTTGGGGCTTCTTTTTGTCTGAATCTGAATTCATTTTGATTGTGTTTAAGTCTTGAAAAAACACTATATAAAATTCACTATTTTTCATGCATAATGTTGAATCTGTTAAAATTCTTCATATTTTTTTTAACAAGAAAAATCTCAAGTTGATAAAGATTTCCACAAAACATTGTTGATTTATTTCAGATGGAATAATCTCTTATGACATATCTTTAATTTGTATTTACATACATTGTATTTATTTTCAATAACTTCACCTATGATCTATTATTGTACATAATTAGATTAGGTAACAATAAAATTTGTATTTTATATGAAAATTGAGTTGTAATAGAAAGTGGGACTGCATCATAGATTCTAGTGGGGGCACGAGACCCTTGCATGCTCCTGCCCCGCTCCTGTGATCTTATACCAAAACTATACTAAGCTTAGTACATGAAACACGATACCTGTAGATTAGCAAAGTGTATTCCGTTATTCCGTTATAAGTAAAACCTTGAGATAAAACGAACGCATAATACTGGAACCGCCCGCACTGACGTCACTGGTCACGTGGCCGGGGCGGGTGCAGCAATAATTGACGCCCGCCATTTTGACGAAGAGTGACAGCCGTCTGTATGCGAGGTGAGCCTCCAATTAGATTTGCCTACCGTGTGTGTCTCTTTAACAGCAGCTTGCTTTGCCCCTGAATTACTTTAGAGAACAACGAACGAACGGCCTGACCGTTCGTTTTTGTGTAATTCTCTTCTCTGTATGCGATCTTTGTTTTTGTTTTTTTTCTTGTTTGTTTTTAAATAATTATTTAAATGTTCATACACAATTTGGTGAATGTGTTGTTTTTTTTTTTAGGCATGGCTGCCGGTCGGTAATCGACACGTGTGTCTGGAGACCTTTAAAAAAAAAACAAAAAAGAAGCCTTTAAAAATATAAAGAAAATATGCCCCCTCCTCTATTCATACAGATACGACCTCTTCCTTCAGGCTTACCTAGACCTTAACACTTAAGCTTGGGCTTCTTACATAGCAGTTATGCGATATTTTCAAATTCTCCCCAACCCTGTATAAAAGTAAAACTGTTTATCATTTGCAATAATAATAATAATGTTTTTGCAACTGACTCTTTCTTTATTATTATAACTGTGATTGACACTACACAACACTAACAGCCTAAGTAAGTAAAAGTATGTAAGTCTTTTTGTAAGTGAAGTATTTCTAGAAAATGATTTTTTTTTTTTTTTTTTTTTTTTTTTTCACCTTTTATTTTAAAACCCTAAATAATTTTTAAACGTCGATAAAGAAAACCATTTATGCAGAAAGGATATTTTTGAAACTGTAGCTAGCGTATGTATCACTTGAAGTTGGTCGGAGAGACAACCGATCGAAACACTGAAGCTAGCTAGAGAAACGGTGCTTTGTTTTGTTAGCAACGGAAGAAATTCTTTCTCTTCTAAGTTTCCGATTTTACCTGCTTTATTTTTAATTATTAATCTTTCTTTATTCGTCGTACTAACTAAAAAAAAAAGTTTAGTGTTTTTTTTTTACTTTTTATTTGTGATTATTTTCACTATCAAATTTTCAACAATTGTTTTTGTTATTGAGTAATTATTATTGTGCAATCAATGTATTTGCTTTATGTACGGTTTTAATGACTAGACAAACACCTTGTGTGAAAATGTGTATAACATACATCTTGACCTCTAACTTAATTAGTTTTTTACACTACGGCGAAGAACCAATTTTAAATAGGTCGGAATAAATAATGAAACCGTTTTAAAAACAAAAAAAAACTTAGCATTGATCTAACTAACATTTTGTTTTAATTTGTCAAAAGAAAAAATTCTTTTTCTTATTCATTTGACAATTATTTTTGATCAGGTGCGGTATCTTGATTAAACGAAAACATGTCAAACAGATATTTTTTTTTTTTTTACTTTTAAACCCCTAATCTACACTCGCTTAAAATATTTTTTAACCTTATTTTTCATATTTCTCTTGTAAATTATTTAAAGTAAATATAAGTAGCTTTAAAATTCGATTTTGTTTACAATTGTACCAAGTACTTGTTTTTAGTTTACCACTTATGTTCAAACATGCGTGATTGTTGTTATTCGTTTCTAATGCTACAAAATGTGTTCCATATATTTATATATGTATCATATTACATATATATATATGCAGTGTTGTAAATGTTTAACACAAAGTCCCTCCTTCCTTTGGGTAACTGGCAGATTGACGTGTAACTGGGCGGTTGAGCAACCTTCTCATCCGTTTTAAAGTAACCCTTGACTTGCCCTCCCTAAAAAAGTCTAGACTTAGGTGTATGTACGTAAAAAAAAAATTTCTTTTTCCTTAAAAATTGTTATAGCGATTAAAAAAAAAAAATAATACTACTTTTTTTTAAAAGTAATCTTTTTATTTTAGTTGTTTACTGTGATATTTTTTTGTTCAAACTTACGTTTCTTTTAGTTTTATGATTTTTTTTTTTACTACTTACTGTAAAATAATTCCTTTTTTTTTTTGTACTTTATAGTACAGACACTTTTTTTTTTTTTTACAGACTTGAAATAAACTCGATTTAAAAAAATTATCATAGACAATTCTAGGCAAATGTTTACTTTAAACAATAACACTAGCGTCATCGTTTGATTTGATGGTATTTAATTTAAATAAGTTGTTGTATTGAAGGAGCAACAGAAGTGTAAGTTTTTTATTTAAATATGCTAATTTTTTTTTTCTGAAGAAGCATTATGTAAGTTCATAATATACCCCCCCACCTCGTGCTTTTTCAATGTTTTAGTTGTATTGAAAATAAGCCTTTTTTATAGGTGTTCGCAAAGAGACTTGTATTTGATTACAGATGAAATAAACAGTTTCAACTGAACATGAGGATTTTTAAAAAAATAAATAAAAAGTGCAGAAAGGCAGTTCTTTCTAAGTAACAATTTAAAAAGTAACAATCTTACTGAAGGAAGACAAGTCGGTGAGAGGGAGATTTAAAGAGTGGTAATAATAATAATCACTTTTGCCTTTGCGACTATATTTTTATTCGTTTATTTATTTTTTATGTCTTTTGACCAGAAATGTCAACGGGTATTTACAACGTAAATCAGATGGTGGCGGGGAAATCATTGTTTTTTTTTTTTTATTCAATTGTTAGAAAAAGTAAAAAAAAAAAAAATTGTCAAACTGAAATTAAAAAAAAAAAAAATCATCCTTAAAAAATAAAATGGTTCTTTGACAACTTAAAAAAGATTATAGGAAAATATCGTTTAAGTTGTGATGGCTGGAATCAAATAAAGTCTATGACACTAGTTGAATCCGAAAGATTGTCGCTCCCCTCTCTAAAGAAATGGCTTCGTCGTCGGCGTCATAATTTTAAATATGACCTTTCTTCTTTGTATTATAACATTCAACACGTAACCCAAGATCATTTCTGCCTTGTTTTTGACTTATAATTCTCGTCGTAACGAAATTTTTTTTTTTTTATTTCTATCATGGATAATCTGAATAATTAGCCGCCTTTTACTTTTTTTTAAGAACTTATTTGTCAAGTGTCTGTTTAATTAATTAACTGAATCTAGTTTCTGCAGTAAAAAAAAAAAAAAGTAATAACCGTAAACTTTTCAGTGGTATTTTTAATTTTATTTATTTTCGTGAAGTTACACGCACATCTTTGACTTTCCTTCATACTAAAAAAAAAAAAAAAAATTATGTGTGTATATATATATATATATATATATATATATATATATATATATATATATATATAAAGGTGACAAAACTAAACTTTTAGAAATTATCATCCTCATCACTTACTGCAAAAAGATAATTTTAATCACTACTACTACTAGTATTACTGCTATTTGATTGCAGCAACATCTGCTGCTGCTGCTATAAATCCCACGTTATTTATTCCACTGATTAATCATTTGTAACTTTTTTGTTTGCGATAATCCAGTTACAGTACTGTACACACATTTCTCTGGTTTTCCATATTTTTTTTTTTTTTTTTTTTATATCCGAACAATAAAGGATTAAGAAATTTATTCAGATTATTTAAAAATAAAACTTGTAAGAAGAAGCATCTATTGATCCATTTACAACACTAGTTAAAGAATTGTCAATCTACCTATGTTTTGCTTGCAGGTGGGAAATCATTAGTCAGCAAACTGGGCGCTTCGGTGTGAATGATTAGCGAGGCTAGTATTGTTGATCGTTACTTACTACGGAGTAGCGAGTTCAATCCTCATTGGTTGCCTCCGTACAAAATCCGGCATTAAAAACCAACAAGGGTTGATAATATGTAGTAAACATTTAATTAAACCATATAGTCAGCAAAAAAAAAAAAAAAACTTATGATGATGGTGCTCAGCATTTGATCTCGGCTAACACGGAATATTCTTGCAACGTTGCAGATATGTTGTATTTTGGTGGTGGGTATGTCATTTTACTTTTAACGTTGCAATAAATTATTTTAATGACCCACAAACTGATTGTTCAACTTCAATGTTACAAAGTTATGGTAACGTGTTGTAGCTAGAAAATTCTGCACTGGTCAAATCAAAAAACATCGGAATAAAATCGCCTATAGAAGGTACAAAATTTTTCTTTTGAGATTCTCCCATTTATGCACGTTCTATTTTCATGGGATTTATTCACTTTAACGTTGTGGGCACATTGTGAGGATTCCACAAGGAGATACCGTTGCAGAATTGTAGTAATACTTTTTTTTTTTTTTTTTTATAGCTAGGTTGTTTGTTTTCAAGTCAGCACTTAAGAAAATAAACTTATAAATAAATTGATCATTTCTTCTTTTAACCAACAGGCTGTATCCAATACTTTCCTAAAGTATCCTCTCTGTTCTGAAAAGGCAAGCTTTTTATAATGGCTCTATTTTTAAATCCTGGTATGCAAGATTTTTTTTTTTTTTTTTTTTTACAACATCCCCAGTGCTCCAATGATCACTGGTACTGTAATTACTTCCTTTGCAAACTTTCAGAATTTCATACTTTTAAATCATTGGAGTTGTCCATCTTTTCCTTTGCCTGTAATTCTTTTTCTTTACTTTCAATTCGCGTGTCAAATGGACAGGAGACTTCTATCAGGTAGCAGATCATTTTATTTGTCCCACATAACTAAATCTGGTTTATTGAGCTCTAAGGTTGTCATTGTCTGTGTCAGAACATCCTACAGGATTTTCACTTTGCTTTTTTCCACCACTATCTTCTCCTTTGTGATCATATGTTCATAATACTTGTCACAATATTCAAACTTCAAAGAATAATGGCAACAACTTTGTTGCCTCCATTTTCTTATACTCATTTTGAGCCATACACTTGCATTCTGATACAATATGACTGACAATTTCTTGTCTCTCCACACATTCTACATAACATCAAGGTCAGTTGTGTGCCATGCATGATACATGCATAGGCAATCATGTATCTTTTGATACATGACTGACGAGGCAGATTTTTTCCCACAATAAGTTGCCATTTCTTTCTGTGCTAGACCAGTTGCCGTCAAAGGCTATAGAACCTGGTCTGTCCTATTTACCCATAGCTGGGGGGAGAAGAACCTGGTCTGTCTTTCTATTTATCCATAGCTGGGGGGAAAAGAGAAGGATTCATACTTTTCCCAAGTGTATTAGCATGTTAAGTGAATGTAATGGATTTGACTGGAACACCATTTCCTCAACACAAATCAGGCACTTCACATTCTCTTCTAACAAGATCTGTCTACATCTCCCTGAAGCTGCATATGGTCATCATTTTCCTTGTTTTTTCTATCTGTTTTGCAGATCATCTTGGGCTCAATCAATAATTTCAACTTGTTATCACACAATTGATATAAAAGGAGCTGATTGCAGAAATGGTGTTTCCTGCATTTACACTGGATTCTAATATTTTCATTAACCTGCAGAAACATTCTTTGATCTTCTATTGATTTTGTCATGCTGTCTTATTCCTAGGTATTTATACACATCTCCATTTTCCAGCAATTTTCTTTCCATCAGGTAACTCAATGCCTACTGAGTGTAATAACTTTCCTCTTTAATTTCCATCACTGCACATTTCTCTATACTAAACTAAATTCCAATATTTACACTAAAATCTCTTACTATTTGCACATTGATTAAATTTTTTTCCATGTCCTTTGTCATCCATATATAAAAGATGGTTTATTTTATTTTTTTCCTTGTCTAAAGAATGTCCATGTTCTATGTTAATAAAGGTTAGAGGTGTCATTGTCAAAATGAATAAAATTGGAGACCTGCTGTCACCTTGAAAAATTCCTTTTTATTTGAAGTTGAGATTATTTTTATTACTATCAAATATAATTCACATGTTGGTGCAATGCTGACTATGTAGACAGTCAAAGGTTGGAAGCACAGATCAATGAATACATGTTAGCCAACATTCACAAGGGAAAGGTGGACAATTTACATATGTGTGCAGTTATAGTTGAATATCTGATTAAAAGCGAGCAATGTGTCCGGTATTATAACCCGGACATGTTCTCAGTGCTAATTCTGAGTATTGCTTGAAAGTTTTGAAATCATTAAAATGTTTGTCCTACCAGCCATCTCTCTGAAAGCAGGAGTGGTTGGTGGGCTTAAAGGTAATTAAGTTTCAAATGTGGTATTACCATTTTTATGACAATATATTTTTTATTACCTCCTCTTTTTTGTTATGAATTGTCTTAATATCTCTATTTTTGCACTAATAAAATTATTTTCACTTGAAAATTTAATATTTTGAAGTTAGATGGAGAAACTTTAGTCTGGTACATGGTCATGGTATCTTGATATTCAGATAAACAATGTACATTGTATTAAAATTAAAACATTTTCCTATCAACTTTGCTCAATGAGAGGTAATTATTTACTTGTGTAGGTTATGCTTTCCTTTTCCCCTATTTTGATTATTCTGTTCTGTTTTTAGGTCAAAAAATCTTGCAAAATAATTGAACAGATTAATAATAATACTCTTAAAATCTATTTGACTGTAGACTATTTAATCTCAGTAATCTCATGTTTTCCCACTTAGGCTAAATGTAGTACTTTACTCCTCCCACTTTTTTTTTTAATTGGGAATCTCAACATGTGTTCTTTTTCTATAAATATTTTCATCGCAATTGTTTTGATGAGCTTTCCTCTTTGGTACATAGTCTTTAAGAATTTAAGCACAGTACTAGCTTGGAAGCAAGGTCTTATTTTACAGTTGAAATGGCTGTGTGTAACTTTAGTTCTAACAGTTTCTTCTCTCACTTGTGGTACTCTTCCAGCTTCTTGGTTTCCAATCAACTTCAGTCTTCAGGAATTTGAATGCAATGTCATTGTCTTCTTAATTTCAGTTCTTTTATTGTTCTCTCTCTGCTTAATAACATTTCCTTTTTCTCCTATTCTTTTATGCTCTGTAACTCCTTGCATCTTAGTGGCTTTATTGAAATGATTATAAAAAAATGGAAAGGTATGAAATAGTCTTGATTCTTGGCATATCCCAAGCATTAAGAAATACCATGACTGCCTTAATACAGTAAGATGGTGTAACTTTGGAGAATGAGTCTCTTGGAACTGTAGATTATACTTTTTAAAATTTCCCCCAACCATGATGCCTAGTATAAGTAATAGAAAGAAAAACTGAAATGAATATGATTCATAAGAAACGCTCAAAGACTCTTATGAAGCTGTGTGTTAAAGTTAGTGCTTGATCTGAAGATGCCTCTGACATTGAGATCATGTGAGTATAAACTCCAGCAATGGCCCCAGTGTAAGAGTTGATCACATTATATCATTTTCTTCTCTGCAAATAAATATTTTCATATTCATTTTGCTTTAAACATCTATTGGTTCACCCCCCACACCTCCAGCGTAATTCATATATATGATCCATCACTAAAGATGCTGAAAAAAAAATGGTTGGTTTCAAATATGAAGTATTGATAGCATATCTGTGCTGGAGAAATTCTCACTCTCCAGCCTTGACCGAATTCCACTTGTTATTGTGGGTGATCAATTATTTTCCGCTCAAGAGCTTCTTTCCCAACAGATAAAATGTTGCAAACCTCTTGCTTTCCTATCACTATTTCCATGGCAAATGTTCAAACAATCTACATTCATTTGTTCCACCAGTATGAAGTGTTTGTGTGTATCAAAATTAAAGATATGTAGGTAGTATAATAGTTATTAGAATGGAAAATGAAATTGTCAAGCCAAGTTCAAACTCTGAGTCTTCCTGTTAATACTTTAGAAAAACATGAATCTCTCTCCCCACCCATGGCCGGGCATGAGCAAAATACTGAACTTTCCTAACTTTAATTGGCAACCAGTCTAGGACAACTGTGAATTCAAACTGATTGGATATGGGACTAGCAACTGTATTTCATTAAAAAAAAAAAAAAAACCCTACTTGTGACTAAAACTACATCACTTAGTGTGGTGGTGTGGCCTAATGCTCTACAGAGGTTTTACAAGTTCACAAAAAAGGAGTATCTAAATTACAAACAATAAACATTAGCTTATGATGATTTTTATTGAATGTATAATTATTAAGAAGCAAATAATGGAATAAAATAATCAAATGTGTAAGAAAAACTGTCACTTATTTGAGGGGGTAATTTAACTTGGCGGCTGAATTTTGATCTGAAATTATGGAGTGTAATTGGCAGAAATACTCAATAAACAATAACAAAAAGAGAAAAGAATGTCAAAAATAATCCTAATCAAACAAGTGATTGTAGCATTCTGACTTCAAGACAAGAAAGAACAAAAATGTCGGATGAGACCAAGAAGTGGCCAATCTTATTGGCTAGGAAGAAATCCCAGCATGCATCTGTATGATCTCTCTAAATTTGGGAAGGGAGATATTTTTGCCATCATTTCCCTTGGATTGGAACCAATAGAAATTTTCACTGTCTAATTGATTAATATTCATTATCGATTGCTGAAAAATATTGATTTACCTAAGTAAATGATCACTTCTCAATTTAACTCACTCGGTTCTTCCAGAAATGATGTTAAATCATTGATTTTAAGGCTATTGAGCTGACCTGTTGATTGCATATGGAAAAAAAATCATTTGAATGTCTTATTGCTGCTTTGAAATGATTGATTTCCCAATATCCTTATTTTTTCTTTTCATATTTACAGGTGAAACTCTAGTTCCAGATGGGCCATGTCGGTAGTACCGCAGGCTCTACCTACCTCTTACCCAGATACTTCTTCAATGTTAAACACTGCTCACATAGTTTCTGCCACAACTGCAGCTAATATTCCTGAATCTCAAGGGTAAGTAGGAAAACATCATATTTGATTTGATAGTTTTATTGATATAAAAGGTTTATTAATGAACGGGGGGAATTCTTGCTTATTTCTGAAATTAAGTTCCTAATCTCCAGGTAAATTTACATGCTCAAGGACAATCAAGTGGCATAGAACCTTAAAACTAATGTCGGCAATCTTGGACCTTTTGTGCCTCCAAAAGTGTTGAAAGGACAGTTTTTCCTTAACATCACTGATCTAAAAAATAACCTCCAATCAGTTGTTAACTGAGGCAAGAAATGGCTTGTAAATTTGAATGCCTCCAAAATGAAACTATCTTTTTAGTTATCATAGAAAACTATTTTTGCCTTCTATCATCATTGCAGGCGCCAATCTCCCAGAGAGTAAGTCATTGAGACTTTTTTTGTGTTTTCTACTGGAATGATTATATTGAATCAGTTGCTAGGGAAATTGGCTCACTGTGTCATGCAAGATAGATTCTCATGAGAAAAATTATCTTGCACATTTATTAGGTTGGTGCAAAAATAATGACGTAATAATGTCGTTTTTTTTTTTTTTTTACGTATTTTTAACGTCAAAAAACGACATTAATACGTCATAATTTTTGCACCAACCTAATATAAACCTGCTATTCATCCATACATTGAATATTGCTGCCATATTTGCTCTGGTGTCTTTGCCATATATTTCAAGATCTTTGACAAAATCCAAAGAAGGGTCTGTAATGTTATCATTTCTGACCTGGCATTTTGATTTCAATTCCTTTCTCACTGCTATGATGTGGTTTCTCTATATCTTTTTTTTATAAATATTTTCATGGTAGTAGTTCTAATGAATTTTCATTCTTGGTACCTCAGCTTTACGAATTTAAGCATACTACTAAATTGGCAACTAGGTCTCACCATTTTACTGTTGAAATCACTCTATATAAACGAAAGTTCTATTTTAATAGTTTCTTCTCTTGTACTTCTTGCCTATGGAATTCTCTTCTAGTTTCTTACTTCCATGCCACCTACAATCTTCCAAAATGTCAATGTATCATCTTCTGTCTTCCTGAACCCTGTTCTTTTATTGTCCTTTCTGTTCATTAAAGTCTTCTCACTCTCTTCCATTCCCAGTAACATTATTCTCTTGCTTGGAGTGAAATGATGAAAAAAAAAATATATCCAATAAAATTCAATTTGGTGAGAGTTCACTGCAGTACTAAACATGCTTCACATGATGTTTGATAACTTCCCTGACTGTTACAGGTGTGGAATAATCTTTTGTAGAATGATATTGATTTTTTTTTTTTTAATTGGAACCCCCCCCCCCACACACACACACCTGGAAATCAGCTCTGCATTGTAACATACAAAACTCAATAACACAAAGGTATTGTTTAATTTCAAATGCTTTCATTTGCTTTTATGAATATGGGCAATATTTTCTAAAAGCAAAAAATTTTTTTGATGAAAAATGAATTTTTAATACAATTATTTGTTATTTCTTAATTATAATAGATTTTTACATTTAAGTTGTTAAAATATTATAAAATTAGTTAAAAGCTGCATCGGGTTTCCTAAGTCTCCTTACGAGATAGATCTTTTTTTTTAGTGCGTTGTAAATTGTATCATTTTGATTAATCAGAAGATCCGCAGTAATTAAGAAATGTAATTTTGTGTTTATAATTGGGCTGTAATTATAAAGTACAGAAGACCAACGCGAATACAATTAAGTTGCGTTATTTGAGTTAAGCATTGTTCTCCGCTGTTAAGGTCTTTACTTTTGTGAAACATGTGTGGAGAAGTTAATTTGATTTTTCAATTTCAACTGAGAAGGGTACCTACAAGTATCAGTATCATCTTATGAAATTTATATGATCTTATGTTTATATTAATCTCAGTTATGACATTTTCCCATAAATGAAATATCAAAATTAATAATAAAATGAATGGAAATACAAATAACACGGTAAAATGTAATAAATGTACATAAAATTATAGTATTTTATGTACACTTCTGATAAAATTTCATAAGAAAAGTACCTATAAATTAATTAGATATCTTTATGAAATATGAAATTTAATCTCACTCTTAAATCTTATTTTAATTTCTTTATAATATATTTTCCATAAAGCATTGTAAACATAAAGGTGAAAGCTAAGTACAAAAAAAACAAAAAGAGCGCTGAAAGTATTCCTTAAAAATAATGAGGTAAATAATTTGTTCACTTTTCTCCTTCTGTAGAACAAATTATCCTTACGGAATCTGTCGATGTCATTTATCACCTGTCAAGTGACACGAAAGTTTATGACCTGCTTTTTTTTATTTTCAAATTACATCTTTTTGGCGCAGAAGCTAAGTTAAGCTTGGTTCAAAATATTTTAAATAAACATAATTTCTCATTTTCTTAAAATAAGTTTTGAAAAAATGATAATTGATATTTAAAAGAATTTCAAAGTGAGATTTCCAGTTTTTTTATAAAATGGAAAAAAAATGGTCAATTTTGCTGACTCAAAAAAAAAAAAAAATTTTTTTAATGAAAATTTTGGACATGCTAGCAATGATTAAAAAAATGTAAAAAAAAAAAAAACCCAAAAAATACTTTGATCTTTCCTGTTAATAATAACATAAATATTTAGACAATAAAATTGTTTTCGTTAAGTTTGGCATCTTTTACATTATGCTATGCTCTTTTTTTAGTGATCTCGTGGCGGTATCTACCTTACCCCTGTAGTGTTTGTGAAGAAAAACTTTTAAAATCTTATAAATTAAGATTTGATGAAATGAATGCATTAGATTCAAATTATAGCAGACTGATTATTAAAACTACTAATCAGTTTCTGACAAAATCAAAATGTCTTTTTAATGAAAATTAAGATACAATATCACTGCAGAGTGTATACCAATTAAAATAAAATTTAATAATATTGGAGAAAGATAAAATTATACAACATTTAAAGTGTCTATAATAAAATTATTAATCTGCAAAATTTCAGCTTTTAGGCATGTATAATTATTAGAAATTATATATTCTTCAAGTAACATACTTTAGTCAAGCAATTTTCTGTTAAATATTTGCATATGTTTGTGTCTACTATTACATCAGCATACAAGGACAACATATCAAGTAGTCACTCGGAGCCAAGCAGTTCACATTATAAGTAGCAGCTGAATGTAACAGTCCAAGCTGGAGTCATTAAGGAATATTCCTCTGTCTTGTCTGTTCCCTATCAAAAAAAGCAAATAATTTTTATAAATCACAACTATTTCTGGAATATAAAAATTTCAGATTTACACTATCTGCTTTTTCTTCCCCTTTGTGTTTTCATTATAGACAAGTTGAATATTTTTACAAGGCCAAGTTTTCATCCCTTCAACCAAAAACACACACTTTATTTGCAGATCAATACAAGGATTACTTTCATGTCAGTACTATTGTTTGGTTGACCAAAAGAATTATTTTATTTAGAAATGACCATTTTTACTGTTTGACTATATGCAGAACTAGATTTTGTCATTCTTTCATCTATTTGGCCTCTTTCTTATAAATGTTAAATTTACCACCACTCATTATGATAATGAAATCCTATCAATAATTAATTGATCAGTGTTAGCTTCCTTTGTTGAAAATCTATATCCATTTACTCAAGGGATTTTTGAATGATTTTGAAGCATATAGTCATTATTGGTTTGAACAAAAAATATGCAGACATGACCAAATTTAATTTTTTTTAATTGCACAGTTAAGGTTTTTTTTTTTTTTTTTTTTTAAATCTTCTGTCCCAAATTACTGTTAATGAGTGTTATGAGCATATTTTAAGATCTGATATTACAGCATAACTATGCAATATATTAAAAAAAACAAAAAAAACTTTGTTATTGTTACATGTTTGTTGGTGGAACAAATGTTAAAGAAATGAAAGAATGAGTTGGGAATCCTGACAGGAGTCTTGTTTAAAATAAACAGTTGCTTTGTGATATGATGTGACTCAAATACAACTTTGAGTAAATTTTTTATTCACTTTCTTATCAATTATATGCTAAAGTTATAAAATAACTTTGCAGAAGGATTTGTAGACATAACATAACTTTAGTTTATGAAATATATCTGTGTTCACTGGATTATTTTTCCAAAAATCAAATTTTTTAATGAAAGAAAATGAAGTGATACAGTATTTTTCATAGACTATATGAAGCTGTGTTGCTTATTGGAGAATAATTAAGTCTAAAATGATAGTTGTAGTTTTATTGTTATACTTAGTTTTTATAAAATGAAAATTTCTCCATTAATTATATATACATTTTTTTTTTTTACTTCCCTCTGGTTTTTGATCTTCCCAGCAGTAGTAGCAGCAGCAACAGCAATAGTCCAAGTCCAGTGCCAACGCAACAAACAACCTCCAGTAGCCAGGCAAGTGAGACACAGAGCCTGGACAATGATAAGAAAGCAATATATCGGTAAGTTAGTCATTTGCTCAACATAACATTCCTGCTAATATTTTGAACATAAAAATAATCTTTCTTGTAAAGTTAAGTATTTATCACAAATATTATTCATTGTTAACCAATTTTTCAATTTGTAAAGTTTTCTCTTTCTAATATATTGATATAAAAATCACTGTTCAGATGAAATTGTTTTATTTACTATAATTTATTTCTTAAACTAGAGCATTTCATAAATAGATTTTATCAAATGTTGAAGCATTTCAGAGCTTGTTTTGTAGGTCTCTTCAAAGTTTATGAAAATAGTAAGATAAATGCAGGGAATTAAGTTCTTGGACAAAACTTTTTTTTTTTTTTTGTTTTTTTTTTTTTTTTTTTAGTAAAAATTTCACTTACTATATTAGAAAATGTTCAGTTTTTCATCTAAAATCAAGAAGATGCAAACTCAGTATATGTCCATCTCATACTTCAAACAGCCAGATTCTGAACACAAGGTCCTGTTCATCAGCAGGTTTATTGAAAGCCAAAAGGATAAAACTAGAAAAAGAAATAAATACAACCTTGAGACTAGTTTAGTCTGAATAACAAATAAAAGGTAAAAGAGATCACAAAAAAGGCTAAAATGCGAACATAACTCTGAGACTGTGGATTTAAAATGGGTAAAGGAGATGGCTAGTAGTTTGCTTATATGAGTAAGTCATAAAGTTTGCTGTGATAAGTTCACAGAAAGGAAGAAGGTTACATTAAGAGAACAGTGTATAAACAATCAACATGTGGTGAAAAGGGGCTGTACATGGAGAAGTACAACAGTAAAATGTAAATTTATACAAAGCTGGCAACCTTAAATGTTAAAATATGATATTAAAGGAAACCAATGCAGAGAGAGAAAAGGTCTTAAAAGTTATGTACCAGCAATGCTATTGTAGTGGGTAGATTTAGGAGGATAAGAAAGTAGAAACCATATGCTCTGAGCCTGTGCTTTATTGTGCTAGTTCCAGTAATTGCCATGGGCTAAATAAGAAGTGTTTAAAAACGGTGACTAATCTAAAATGTACCTAAATTAAGAGAACAAAGGCATGATAAAACAATGGAGGTTCTGTATTGTGTTAAAAGAACACAACTTTAAGAAACATTATCACAATATATGGAGAAAAAGTGTCAGTTTAAATTGACACCAGGAGGCTATGGATGAACTGTTATAAATATTGTAAAATATTATAAATATCTTCTTCAGTTATTGGATATTGTGTGAATGAGACTTGTTTCTCTGGCTTATAATGTTTGGGTTTATTTATGAATCAAATTTTATATTGCACTTTGTACATGGTGCAGCAGAAATACCTTCCACATAATGGTTAGACATTAGCAATGAAGTTGACCATGAAACAAATTATCAGTATCTTTTAATAAAGATAGATGTTATAAGCTGAAATTCACATGAGATATATATATATATATATATATAGTTCAAAACCATTTATGCAGCTTTGTGGGTGATGAATTACTTCCTACCTTACAGCTCCTTTCCCACAGTAAAAAAAAACATCCCAAACCTTTCACTACTCTATCACTATTTTTATAGTGAATATCTGATGAACTATATTCCATACCTCCACCAGTTCAGACCTTTACTGCTAGGACCCACCATGCCACATACACAATGTTGAATCATCTTCATTTCTTTCGTATTCTATTGGTAAGAAGGAAGTTCCACTCAGATAGCTTCATCTTGAGAAATCATATTTTGTGGAACAAACTCCTGTAAGAATATTTCCCTGGTCACTGCAATCTTCAAGTATATGGTCAACCATTATCTATCCTACATATTCTCATAATCTGCATTACTTTCTCCTCTTCATCCATACAAAAATCTCATTCAGCAAGCCTCTACCATGAGTGACTCTTTATTGAGTGAGCATTAGTATTAAAAAGACTCTTGAGACTGTCCCCCCCCCCAAATCACTATAATGTTAACCTCTTCAAGTCCAGGATCAACCATTATCTATCCTACATATTCTCATAATCTACACTTAATTCCTCCTCTTATGTCCACACAACATCATTAAGTAACCCTCTACATTTCCTGGGGCTTGTATTTTGTGAACATATTGTGTGTGTGTATATATAATTTATATATATATTTATTAGTATTATTCAACCAGTATAAGACCCAAGAGCCACTCAAAGTAGATGGTTACTTTAGTGAACAAGGTTGCTGTAAGGGTGTGAATAGAGGAGATAAAACGTGCATGTTATAAGGATATGGTGGAGTAATGGGTAAATAGCAGGACAGATTGGGTTCTATAGCCTTGGATGGCAACTGGTCTACCACAGAAAGAAATTGTAACCTACTGCTATGGTTGGATCTGCCTCGTCAGTCATGTATCGAAAGATACATGATTGCCTAAGTGTGTATCACACATGGCACATAACTGACTAACTGAGGGTAGATAAACTTGACCCTAGACTTGAAGGGGCTAAGATTGTAGTTTGTTTCACAAAGTAACCGTTTTAGGGAAGAAGCCTTCTGATAGAACTTGCTCTTTACCAAAGGAATACAAATGAAATGAGATGTTGTCACAATGGCAGGTTCTAACTGTAAAAGTCTGAACTGGTGGAACTAAGGAATGTTGCTCATCAGAACATTTGCTATGGAAATAGCAATAGAGTAGTGAGAGGATAGCAATATTTTGTCTGAGAGAGAAAGGGTATGCAGTGGGGAGGAAATAATTTGTTGGCCACATTAAAATTCTCTGAAGGCTGCACAGTGAAGATTTGGCAACACCAGTCCAGATATGGCAGCAATACTTCATTGTTGGCCTGATCTGACTCTTGTAAACATAGGGCAGGAGTCAGGTACTTACTGGGATGCAGTACAAGGAACTGATCAGTCTTCTAACTTTTTTAGCAATAGTATGAATATAAAAAGACTATTGAAGCATGAAGTTTCATTGAGAGTACAACCACTCATCAGGACTGGAGTAAATTTAGGGTCTGCTCAGTGGTGATGAACTGTTACTAGTGTGTTTTTGGGGTATTGATTGATATAAGCCAGTCTCCCTCCTCCCATAATTTTATAAGGTAATGGATTTTATTTATCAGTCAGACAGATTTTTATCACTTAAAAACATTATTTTTATTGGATACTCATATTTGAGTAGACACTCCATTTATTTATTAAACAGTATAATTATTTATTTTCGTCTGCTGGTCTGAATATTCAAGAAATCTTAAAGAAGAATATGTGCTCTCTGGCAGAATACAAACCTGCATCCTACTAGGCAGAGAGAAACTGTTGTTAGATCCCGATGTACCTTAACCATCTCATCCACGCAGCAGCCTCACCCATCAAACAAAGTTTGAAATGTGCCTTTAAGCAAACTTCTTGTATTAAATTCCTCAGTTTTCATATCTGCTCAGTTTTCTATCAAACATAAATATAGTAATTTTCTAAGGTAATGGAGTTTATTTATCAATCCCAGAGGGATACATGTTTCAAATCCTGCTTGAGAGTGAATATTTTTCGCAAATAAGATTTCTTGAATATTTACTCCAGTAGAGGAAAATAAATAGAAAATATTGTTTGAAAAATAAATGGTGTCTACTCAAATATGAGTATCCACTAAAAATAACATTTAAAGTGATACATACTCACACACAGTCTAAATATTTATTTTATATATATTTTTTTCTAAATTTGGCCTGCATCATCAGTTGGTGACCTAATTCTTGAATCTGGCCTTTTTTCAGTTGCTTTGACAAAGTAAATACTTATAACAAAATTGATACTATTGGTTATAACAATCTCTGTGTTGGTATTGGATTAGTATCGCATCCATGTCGGTGTATCGCGTCCATGTCTCTTGTTTTAAAATACTCTACCAGCTTTGGTAGCATAACAAAGAGAACTGTTTATTAGATATAGATATGTTCACAATAATATTTTTTTTTTTTTTTTTTTTTTTTTAGACATCCTTTGTTTCCGCTGATGGCCTTGTTGTTTGAAAAATGTGAACGAGCGACACAGACTCCTGAATGTCCCTCAGCAGACAGTTTCGATGTGGACATTCAGGCCTTTGTACAACACCAGGAGAAGGATCGCAAGCCTTTTTTCAGTGATGACACTGAATTGGATGGCCTTGTAAGTATTACTGTGCCCCTGTATCAATATATTTGAGTTTTCACTTAATAAATGTAAAATAATTTAAGATATTCAACCACCAATTGGATATCCAGAATGTTGAATAAGGAATCTGGTATTTAAAAATATTAAGCTGTATCCTTCCCACCTCACATGCTGGCTATTTTATTATCTTTGATCCATACCATCAGAGGCAGATGTTGATGGTATGACAGTAGAGGTTGAACCTTTCTACTAATAACTTCTTTTTTTTTTTTTTTTTTTTTTTTTTTTACACATGGCACTTGAATTACAGTCTGATAAAATGGCATCTGACATAAAAGAGCATATCAAGCAGAGATGTGTTATTGAATTCCTTTATGTAGAGAAAATTGCACCTATTGAGATTTTAATGTTTCAGTAGTGGTGATTGCAATGTGTATGACAAGCTATATTTATAGTGTGTCATGCAGGTTAATTATCACTAGCAAAAACGTGTTGCCAATGGTGTCATGTGGAAAAAGTGTTTTGGAGCTGAAAACTTTCTCTATCAAATCTCTGAATCTGTTGCAGTTTCTATGGAAATAAATAGGTAGCATTTTGTCAATGTGTTTAATTCAGTGGTCAATATTAAATCAGGGTATTCATTTGAAGTTAAATAAAATTTGTCAAGTATGTGAAAAGGTTTATTTGCTGGAAATTAAAATTTTATATATATATATATATATATATATATATATATATAAAAATAGAAAAAGCCAACACTTAATATTAACTGCGAACACAGCCATAACGTGCTGTGTTCAGAAAATAATACATCCCTATAACTCTACAAATATACACACAACCCATACATCCAGTTAAAAAGTAAAAATAAAATCATCCTTGATAATGGCTAAAAGTATAGGCAAAAGCACTCAGAATTACAGAACATTTTGACAGTTTCTACACACTGTGTCCAGAAAAGAAAACACTTTTTCGAACATAGGAAAAATTAAATAAAAAGCTTAATTGCAGTACCATGTCTATCATCTTTAATGAGATCTGTATAAATGAAGGATTGCTGCGTGCGCACACACACACACACACACACACATATATATATATATATATATATATATATATATATATATATATTAGTATTCTGATATTATTCTAGCATAAGGTGCAACAGTTAAGATTTTTTTTTTTTTTTTTTTTTTTATGTACCTGTTGTCTACTCCTGTTTACTTGCTTTTCTTGCAGATGGTGAAAGCTATCCAGGTTTTGCGGATCCACCTGCTGGAGTTGGAAAAGGTTAACGAGCTGTGCAAAGACTTCTGCAACCGCTATATAACATGCCTAAAGAGCAAGATGCAGAGTGAACATCTCCTCCGCACGGAGGTACCCTCACCACCCCCTAATTTTGATGGCTCGCTCAGTAGTAGCAGTTCAGGCAGTGTGACTCCTAACCACACTGCCACTGGTGGATTATCTTCATCCTCTTCCTCCCAGCTCCCAAATGCATCTTCTGCCACCAGCTCGTCTTCCACTTCTACTGCCACAGCAGCTGCAGCTACCCTCCAAAGTCAGTTGCAACAGCAGCAACAGCAGCAACAACAACAGCATCAGCAGCAAGTAGTTGCCCCTATGGCAGCCAACAATGTCCTGATTCAACAGGGTTTAGCTGCTGCCCAGTCTGCTGCTGTCTCTATGGGAACACTAGGGCAGGGACAAATCGGGGGAACTGTTTATAGAATGGTCCAGACACCACAAGGCATAGTTGCACAACCCATTCAGGTTAGTAAAATGATATATTGTTGTAAATTAATGCTTTCTTCCTCCCCCGTCCCCATACTTTCCTCCTCCTCCTCCTCTCTCTCTCCTTTTTATTTCTCTTTAATACTCTCTACTCTGTTCTCATACCCCCACATGCATTTTTTTGTTGTTTTCAACAACTCTGTAGTTGTTTTGCGCATACATTAGAGATAATCTTTGGATCATTTTGTAATTTACTAAGTATTTTTTATACTTGGAGTATTACTATTTCTAATTAATGAGAATTGTTCACAAATCAGATTTTAAGTTGAAACTGATGTTAATGTTATACTGTTGTTTACCCAGTCATTGCAGATTTTGAAACCTCCAATGAAATTGCTGCTGCTGTAAATAGAGCATGGAGATATTTGCTTAAGAGGTTCTTGTAGAACTTAAAAACACTGATTTTACTTTTTATTGAAAAAAAAAATCCTTTTATTGCAAATCACAGTATTAGAAGTAAAAAAAAAAAAACTAAAAAAACAATTGAAAACTTCAAGAATTGTAATCTGACTAGATGGATTATCTGGTAATGTATTTAATAATCTATACTGACTTGTATTTTTTTTTTTTTTTAAATAATTGTTGAAATAGGGTAAAAATTCCTATTTTTATATTAAAATTTTATTTAATTTTTAATAAAACAAAGTTCAGTCATATTGTTGAAAATGATATTTAAAGGAGGGAATAAAGCAATTTTACAACTTAGCCAATAATAGTTTTCTAACCCACATTCTATCTATCCCCTTTTAACAAATATATTTTTCTTTTTTAATTGTTCATGAAAAAGGATTAGATTAATAAAATTGCTGCTGAAAATTACAACAAATGTTATGACCTGTTATTACTTTCCAAAAGAAAAAAAATGTATGAGAATAATCTTTTAATGACACTAGAATTTTAGTTAAGTTTATATACTGTTTTAAATATTTAAGTAATGAAAATAATAGAAATTAATAAATAATTAATGTATGTTTTTGGTAGGTTTTTCAGATTTTAATTAGTTTTCAAGTGAAATATATACTCAGAAGATTTGCTAATTAAAATTTATTCCATCCGTGATAACTTCTCAGGCCTACTAAAATAAAAATGGATGTGGAAAAGAATCTGCTGTAACTTGTAAGAAATAATTTTAAGTTCTCATCAATTAATCTAGCTTACTGTAAATATTGGTTCCTTTTCATTTTACAAGCATTCATTGGATGTCAAGCATTACTATGAAGTGTGATGTTCTATAAAAACACAACATAATATTCATTCTTAGTTTTCTATCTTCATCATATCTGAAATTTTTAATATCTTCAAAGATAGTCTTATACAAGGTCTGCTTTTTTTATACACACACACACACACACACACACACAGAGTAGGGATAAATGGAAACAGCAGTTTAGCTGAATTAAGTGAAGCAATATATATAATTTAAATGTTTTGCTATAAGGTGCATATAATAGGAGATACAAATTATTTTTGTTTAATTAGTTAAAAATCTACAAATGTTACTATAAAACTAAAATAAAATTTTAGACAAATGTTTGAAATATTTTACTTCTCACTCCTAAAACTTTTCATATTATAGCTTTAATAGCACACTAGACACAGCACCAACTTTATAGTTCTGTCTCCTCTTCTCTGTCCTGACTGGATTGATTCAGTAAATGGGGTTGCCTGGAAAAGCTTGTGTGGCACCAAGGTTAAGGCCTATCAATAGGTTCTGTTGCCCACTAAGTAGATTAGGGTCCTTTGAGTAAATTACTGTATCTTTTTGTGGTGTCTCTGTTGTATGGTACCCACAGCAGGGTTATGACTTTTTATGTAATCCAATGTTTCTGTGTCATGAATTGATGAACTTTTTGTTAAATAATGAAAAAGGCATTAATTTGTTTCAGTTCTTGAAAAAGGTCACCTCAAATTAAAACTTCAATTTTACCATATACACAATAAGGGTAAAAACTCAAAATATTTCAGAAGCTTTATTTTTCAATTTACTGATGATATAATTGGATAGTATTTATGTATTTTTTAATGAATTTAACAGTTTATAGCTATAGCATAACATACAAACTTACAAATAAACAAAAGCAGGTTCCAGAAAGTCAGTAATACTATACTTATATATGATTTTAGAAATTTTGTATTGGTGGGGGTGACATTTAAAAAAAAAAATAAACTGAATTAAACCCTTCTTCATTATTTTTTTAACAAAAGTTCATTGAATTATGATACAGGAAATCAATTGTTTTGCAAAATGTCATAACCCCAACCCACATACATTAATAAATATCTACTGTATTGTATGTGTATATATTAACATTTATTTTATCCATTTCCCTGATAAATTTTTTTTTTTTTTTATATCACCCCAAGCAAGTACAGCCACTAGCACACAAGGGGTTACAGGGTGTGGAAGAATTAGGAACAGAAACAGGAGAAAGGGAGTTCCATAAATAAGTGTGTATGGCTACATTTAGCCAGCTCAACTATAAATTGATGTGATCTTGCTGCTGGTCTAATATTGCACTAAAACTAATACAGTCTAGGTATCATAGCAAAGACCTCACTATAACACACACACACACACACACACACACACACAGGATATATAGGTTAAATAGTAGGGCAGATTGGAGTTTTTAGCCTTGGTTGGCACACAGTCAAGTAGGTGGGCAAGTTTGAATTCACAACTTTTGGAGGTTTTTTTTGGAAACCTTGTGGCACAATATATGCGCTAGTTGTCTATATTTGGTTCTTTGAAAATATGTGATTGGTTCTGCACAAACTTTCACCATTATAATTAAACCGTGTGTGAGTAGCTTGATTGTTCAATTCTTAGAACTGATCTACTAGACCCTCATTTTGAAGGAAATGAGAATATATATATATATATATATAAAATGTGTGTGTGTGTGTGTAATATGAATGGACACTGAGTAGTAAGTTTTTTTTCATGCATGGAACACTCATCAGTTAGTGTTGGCTTCAGTGTCCATTTACATTCACACACCCTCTATCCCTGATATTGAGCACTTTTACCCATAAATATAGCATAACTTAAAACTATATTTTTATTATATATGTATATATACACACACAGCAAAAGGTTTGGTACTCTCCAGATTTCAAAGAATTGCTTAAAAATTGAAGGTTTCATGCCTTTTTCTAAACTAATTTGCAATCTTATTTCAGATCAGAGGGACTTTCAGAGGGTTTTATCTTATATTCAGTAATAATAATAATGAAATTAACCCAAAACTGCATGAAGTTTCCTTAGAATCTTTGCTCTTTTTTGCCTAATCTACCTTGCTGGCTAATGTTAATCTGAGGAATTAAAAATTTCAGGTCACTTCCTCTCTAAAACAAATGGGACACCATGTACTACTGGGTTAAATAGTTCCAGAATCTTAGTTTAGTAGGAGTTAATTAAACCAAAGTTGGAATAAAACTTACTAATTATTTAATCCAGAAGTTTGCCCCAAACTTTGTGTCTCTCTCTCTTTCTCATATAGATATGTTTGTCCAAACAGTTATTAGACAGAAAGTTATGAAGAAACCTGTTAAAGAAAATGTATTAACTAAGAAAATTAATAATCTGCAAGTCTTCCAGAATTTGGGCACTACTTTTGATTTATTATATATATATATATATATATATATATATATATATATAATGAAAGGGGAGGAGCTTTTTTTTTTTTTTTTTTAACTATTGTTCAACCAATACAAGGCTCAAGGTAGAGTAACTAGGATTTAGGATAGGGAAGCATCTGCTTGGGAGACTGTTTTTGAACTCTTGTGCTGTGTTCAAACAGTGGGTGGGTATTTTAACAAAAAAAAAAATAAATAAATAAAAGCTGGACTACTTTTAGACCCTGGTTTTATGTATGTGTGGGACCCCCAAAATAAAAAGGCCTTGTGCCACATTCAGAACAAGTCAGCATGTTATTAAATCTCCTCCACACACACACCTCATGTGGAGAAAACCTGAGAGTTGTCTTTGAGAACATTTACAAACCACAAAGCATCACCAATGTCATATTTTTCTTTACAGAATATATTGCTTTTTGTTGTTGTAGGCAAACAAGAATAGCTGGTGTTGACTGCATTAAAATATATATATATATATATATATATATATATATATATATATATATATATATATAATATAATATATATAAATAAATAAATACATGACAATAAATAAATAAACATGACAGTATCGAGTTAACTCATACAGAAGTGTAGAGTAATATTTTTATTATAAATTTCATTATCATGTAGGTGTGTACATTTAGTTCTTAGTTATTTTTAATTTTATTTTAAAATCATTTCTTTTGGGTGTGTGTAACTGTCAATATATTAATTCTTTGTAGGGAAGTTGCTACTTCAAACAAAGTAAAAATGTGGCATATTAATTCGTCCAACTGCTATGTATCAAGTTCATCTTTAATTTGAATATAGTTTAACCAATTAAATTCTTACAATTATTTTCATGTTATTTATTATGATCCAGTATCATTATTAGGCTTGTTCAGCAGAGAATTTTTAAAGCAATAATGAAAGTAAGTCTGAAAATAATTCTATGCAAACTTTCATTCAGAGAAACTGTTGATTGAAAAGTTTAAAAATATGAGACCAGTGAAAAAGAACCCTAAAAGTATTTATATTTTAGTGGTTTACAAATTTCACTTGATTACAGTGTTAATGAAAGGATCTAAGTTATTGTAAATATATATTTGAGATATGTAAATTTTTGTGAGATTCTTATAAAATATTAACAAATATATTATTAAATAAATGACTGTAATTTAAAAGAAGAAACCTCTAAATAATGAGTCTATTATAAAAGGTTTTATTTGCAATGCCTATTTTAAAAAAATTCAAAGATTTTGGAAAAATCCTAAAAGAAACTTCATAAAAGAATTGAAACTTTTCTTTTTGTCTATACCAATAAGAAATTAACAAAAGCCATCAGATTTGCATTG